ACGGCTACGGAGGAGGCAGTGCGGAGAGAGAGCGTCGCCCAGGTGGATACGGTGGCTTCTATCCAGAGCCTGCATCATCTTCCTTGTCACCGGGACAGTCACCCGAACGACGACGGGAAAGACGGGAAAGAGATGGTGACCACTCATCGTCGCGATCGCGCACAAGGGACGGAGAGGCTGATAGGAGGGCACTCGGTTCTCGAGATGGTCGCTCTCGCGGAGACAATAGCTGGTTAGGAAATAATAGCAGCGGCGAGAATGTTCCCGGTCGTGCGGCAGGTCCTCAGGCCATCGAAGGTTCGGATTGTGCCTCTTCTTCCTCTTACTTCTCGCCAGGGGAGGTTTGATTGAGCAGAAGCATGCTAACATCACTGGCTCCCGTCACAGACGTACTGCAAATGGTTCAACGAGAATGGGACTTTGTGGCCTCCGAGAACTGTGTGCCTGTGCAAGTCGCTTTGCAGCTGATGGATACCAGTACCTTGGGAAAAGCCGATCGCGAGCCGGATTTTATAAGAATCAATGATAAGATTCAGAGGACATTGAAGTCCGTTGTCAATGGTAAGCCACCATACCCCTCATCTGCCTGCACACGATGCTGAAGTATCCAGAACATCACCAGGGCTTCAATAGTTCCATTGGTACTTATCATAAGATCCAGTCAAGCATACAGAGCTCACAAAGCCGAGTCCGCACATTGAAGATCTCGCTGGAAGAGGCGAAATCCGGATTGTTGTCGACTAAGCCCGAATTGAAGGGATTAGCTACGTCGTCACAGAAATATGACGACATTATTCAATTATTCAGCCAGATACAAGAGATTCAATCTCTGCCCGAAAGGCTAGAGTCACGTATATCGGACAAACGATTCCTTGCGGCTGTGGAGGTATTGCATAACGCTTTGCGGCTGTTGCGGCGCTCTGAACTCGAGAATATTGGAGCTCTCGCAGATATTCGAGCCTACTTTGGAAACCAAGAAGCATCTCTTACAGACATACTGATAGAGGAGCTGCACGATCACCTCTACCTCAAATCTCCCTACTGTTCAGGCCGTTGGAAACCACCAACTGCTGATGGTGAAGGAAATGGAGCCCACCCATCCAGCTGGACCGGAACAAGCTCATGGGAGAGACCCGTTTATGCATTTCTTGGGAAGTTGGACGCATCCACGCCTATGGTCGAAGACGCTTCGCGAAACCCGGAGGCTGACACATTCTACTACATACAATTGCTGATCGAAGCGCTGAACAAGATGGGTCATTTGGACATCGCAGTTGATAGGATAGAGCAACGCCTGCCTGTTGAACTGTTTGCCGTTGTTGATAAAACTAACGCCGAGATTGATGCAAGGTATCCAAACAATACCCGCGGCTTTACCTCACAAGACAGCAAGTCAAATTTGCCGACAGATATAATCGAAAAACGTGGACATGTGCTATCGGAGTTTCTTTGGACCTTGTATGCTAAGTTCGAGGCTATTGCTGAAGGCCATCGTGTTGTTCATGATGTTATTGCAGCTATCGTGGAACGCGAGGGTATACCCAAGGGAAGTGCGCTCGCGGGTGGGTTCAAGGAACTTTGGAAGCTTTATCAAAGTGAGGTGCGTGAATGGACTCTGCTGTGGGCTTTTTCGTCTGTCTTTCTAACACCTAATAATCAAGATCCGGTCCCTCATGCATGATTACCTGGCAACGGATGGAGAATCATCATTCCGGCCCCGGCACGAAGAGGCTGAAGCGAAACGACAACTTTATACAGGGCAGAGAGATAAGAACAAGGTGCGTGCTGTGACGAAGACATGCTTATTTAGTTGCTCACTGGCCATAGAAAATGTTCAAATTGTCCGAAACGGACCATACTTCCGAAATACAAGCCGAACAAAATGAGTTGGACGAGATTCTCAGGTCTTCGGTTCCTGGCTTGGTCACCAAATCAAGCCAGAAAGCCGCTGTCATCGATGCATCCGACACCAGACAAGGAAACTCGGGAACTGGGCATAAGATCCTCATAGAGCCAAGCGTCTTCAACATGAGCCTCCTTCTTCCTCCTTCGCTATCATTTATTCAGCGGCTGAAGGAGATTGTACCCGTGGATTCCGACATTGCCATGAGTACATTGACTTCTTTCCTAGATGACTTCTTGGTCAACGTTTTCCTCCCTCAGCTAGACGAAACCGTGACAGACCTCTGCACTCTTAGCTTTATCTCGCCGGATGCTTTCACAGAGGACCCTCACTGGTCTGGGGTCTCTCCCCGGCCGGTTTTCAAGGTAAATGAAGTCCTAGGCAACTCTTTACGTATTGCTAACAGCTGGTCGCGCAGGGTACGGTCAAATTCATGTCGATTATTCGAGAATTCAGTAAAATGCTATCCAGCATCCCACATGATCAAGCCTTCACACAGCTCCTCCTTTCACAAATTGTGACTTACTACGACAAGTGTTGTGGATGGTACAAAGGTGAGACATCCGTGGCCAGCATTCTTGTTTCATTCTTCTAATTTGCACCGCTCAGCGATCGTGACCAAAACATCTCCCCGAGACAATGGAGAAGTCCGACTCAAGGCTGCCGCGCGTCATGCGGAATCAGGCGACGTTCATGACATTATCACAGAGTTATGGAACGGAGTGACCGAGAATAAGCGGGAGCTCGTAGACAAGGTAGCTAACAAAATTCCCCGTGCCATTCCATCCTATCGGAGGCCTATGGTAGGCTTTCTTCTTGGAAAGCTCCAGCTGACACTATCAGGAAACCGACATCCTTATCAATTCGACTAATGAGGTTCCATTGGAGCCATACGACATCATATCTGATCCCAAGACAGTCGTATCCTTGTCGCTTCTTTTCAACAGCATGGTTAGTTAGACAATCCAAGTCCAGCTTTTTCCAATCACAGAAGCTAATTGGTACAGCAATGGTTCGCAAGCCATCTTGCTCAATTACGTCAAATCACACAACCAGCCTCCGACTCGCGACAGGCTGAGTCCCGACCAGCCAATCGCCGCTGGACTCTGATTGGTGCCATGAAACCGAAGTGCGAGGGCATCAATCAACCAGTTTATCTTCCTTTGAACCAAGAGACAGCGACTGTGTTCGACACTACTCTTCAGTCTCTCCGTGATCTTGCATGCACTGCTCTCTTCGCCCTGCATGTCGACATCCGCTGCGGCATCATCCATATGCTGAAGCGGACAATGGAAGGCCCCAAGCCCCGGAACACACGAAGCTCGGAACCCGCTACGCCTTCCCCAAGCTCGCTCGCCAATTGGTGGCACATTCTCTCAAACCAACCAACTGCTGCGTCTCCTACAGTGCTTGAGCTGAACAATGACTTGATCGCGTTTGACACCAACATCTCGTCGTACCTTGGACCACCTGAGCGATGGTTCATCACGTCTGGGCTTGCTCGGTTCATCGACCGTACTTTCGTCGCGAACACCTGTCATATTGGGGCTATGAACGAAAATGGCGCGCTCCGACTGCAGCTAGACGTGCTAGTGCTGCAACAGAATCTGAAGAACATCATCATAGACCCAACAGATGATGGACGGAAAGATGACAGTCCTAACTCACAGCAGAACAGTGAGCACACCGAGGTGGTTGCTTTGCCTCGTAGCGCTAAATTCCTCGATTGGTTCCTGGAAGGTGCGGAGAAAGCCTTAGACTACGCAAAGGATGAGAAGGAATCGTTCGCAACCCACGGAGACCAAGCGCTGGCCGCTGGTAATGGCGAACCGTTCACGTACGACGAACTCAAGGTCCTCATTGACCTTTGCTTCTCAGACATTCTACTAGGCCCCCGAGGTGCGGAGAATCGGGAGGAGTTCATGGCAGCAAAGAAAGCCAGCGCTGATGCGCTCTTGAGGTTAAACGAGGTAATGTGGGATTCCAAGTGACGGATAGATTATTTGCGGCTTCACACCAGGACTGTGCTGGAGACACAGCCCGCAATGGAGGCCATGCCTGGACGCTTGTGGTCTTCCGATTGAAGACCCTACCTGATTAGAAAGCTAGACAACACTCTCAACAATACCAACGGAGATTAAGATATTTTTGATAATGATTGTTATTGAGATTTTTGGTGAACGAACTCCCGGCTCCAGAGACCCGACCCACTGCGGGATGCCGCGGAGCGGATGGATCCCCCGTTCATTGCTAGCACTCCGTTGGGTGATGGTTCTTTTTGCCGCCATCAGCCCATATTTTCCACTCCCTTTGTTTACCCTGGACTGAACCTGGCTAGCCAAAGGTGAGTCCGGCTTGAACACCCCTGGAGCTCTCGGTCAGGCTATTGGCGGCTTGGTGCAGGGGAGACAATCGCCCCCGACTGCTTACTAGCCGGGCAAATTTCTCTGGCCGTTAGGTGATTTCCGAGCAGTGGGTCGGGCCCGTGTAGTTTAATTACTCAATATCAGAAGCCATTGATGTTGGTCAACATCTAAGACGTGCGGAGCAAAGGGAAGACCCAGCGGCGGCGCTTCTCCATCATTCTGCTCCAATTCCCTGGTCTTTCAATGTGGTGATCCACGCCCGGCGTTTCACATTGCGATCTCATTTCGCGGTGCGCGAACGAAATCGCTGCTGCCTTCCCTCGGGCTTATGTGTCATTAAAGTTAAGGCGCTAATCAGGGAAAAACTTTACGACTGTTCATTTCCTTAGATTGATGGTTGCTGATGGATCACACTATCCTGGCTCTGGGGCCAGACGCCCCCGAACGCTCGTTCTCCTTCCCTCGCCTCTTATTATTCTGCGAAGTTCCTTCTTTTCTCAGCTTCCTCTCTCTTTGTCGCTCCTTTGCCATTCTGTCTGGAACAGCAGATTTTACACCCTGGGATTTGAAATCCTGTCCATTCATTATTACTGACCATTATTGTGTTGACTACACGTCCTGTCTTTACTGTGATTCCTCGCCATCTCTTGGCCGGCAAAGAGAGAAAGACATCCATTCTTTATTTCATTTCTTGGCACCTTGTCTGAGACACTTTTCTCCATCTTCCAAACATGAAGTATCAACGCCTCGCCTCTTTGGGCTTGACTGCCCTGAGTGCGGCTGCAACGGTCTCTGCCAACCCACTGCTGAACCGTGAAGCTGAGGGTCAATGCCCCCAAGGCTACACCCAGAGCGTCTACTACAAGACTATCACTCTCCAGCCCTCCTCTACTGCGCCAACCGCGCCAACCTCTACGCTCGCCAGTGTAGGTGAAGGCCAATGTCCTGTTGGCTACACTCAGAGCGTCTACTACAAGACGATTACTCTCCAGCCCACTTCAACTGCATCCGTCGAGCCAACCTCTGCTCCCGCTGTTGAGTCAACCTCCGCTCCTGCTGTTCAGTCAACCTCAACCCCTGCTGTCGAGTCAAGCTCTACCTCGGTTGATCAGGTCACTACTTTGCACTCGTCTTCAACCGTTATCGTGACTGAGGTCGTGACTGCAACCCCTGCGGTCGCCACCACGAGCTCCGCGGTCGAAAGCGCTGCACCAGTTGCCACCACCTCCTCCGTTGCCGAAGCTTCCCCTGCTGCTGAGACTAGTGCTGCTGTGGAAGTTACCTCCTCTTCCTCTTCCTCGGTCGTTGAGGTGACGACCAATGCTGCTGTTAATGCCGCCGCAACCACTGCTGCCGCTGAGCCTACCTCCGAGGCTGTTACCACTGAGGCTGCAACTACCGAAGCTGCCGCGACCACTGAAGCTGCTGCCCAGCCTACCCCTGAAGCCGCTACCACCGAGGCTGTCACTAGCCAGGCTGCTGCTGCCGCTACCACCGAAGCTGCTACTACTCAGGCTGCTGCTACCACCGAAGCCGTTGTTCAGTCTACCCCTGAGGCCGCTACCACTGAGGCTGCCACTACCGAAGCTGCTGCTACCCAGGCCGCAGCCACTACCGTCGAATCCAAGTCTACTTCTTCTAGCTCAACCGCTGCTAGCGCCGCGACATCGTCTGCCTCCAGCTCCAGCTCTTCCACCTCTAGCAGTGCCCTGAGTTCCGAGTACTCGGGTGAGGCAACTTTCTACGGCGGTAACGTCTCGGGTGGAACTTGCTCGTTCACTGACTATACTATCCCCTCTGGCCTCTTCGGCACGGCACTCTCCTCCCAACGCTGGGACAACGCAGCGGAATGTGGTTCTTGTGTTGAGGTCACTGGCCCTAGCGGTACCAAGATTAAGGCCATGGTAAGTCTTACCTCCCAAGCCCTGCTTCCCTACATGCTTTCGTTCCTGTCTCTAACAAATTCAAGGTTGTCGATGAATGTCCCGAATGCGACTCCAACCACCTCGATCTCTTCGAGAGCGCCTTCTCCGAGCTGGCCGACATCTCCAAGGGCGTTATCAGCATCGACTGGGAATACGTTGCCTGTGGTATCACCTCCCCAATCGAACTGGTCAACAAGAGCGGCACCTCCGCCTACTGGTTCGCCATGCAGGTCGTCAACTCCAACCTGCCCGTCACCAAGCTCGAGGTCAGCACCGACAGCGGTAGCACCTGGCAATCCACCACCCGTTCCTCCTACAACTACTTCGAGAACCAGAGCGGTTTCGGTACCGACACCGTCGATGTCCGTGTCACTGCCGAGGGTGGTTCTCAGATCACCGTCAAGAACGTCAGCGTCTCGTCTGGCTCGTCTGTCACTGCTTCCTCCAACTTTGAGTAAATTGGTGATCTGACCTGACTGACTGGGTGTTTGCGATGACGGGATATGATGTTGTACTCTTCTTAAAATTTTAATTCTCTAGAAGTGTGTGTGCCGGGATTGGTCATGCTTCTGCTTCTTTGGTGTATTAGCGCTTTGCTTGGGGGCTTCTTTTCACAAATCTTATAAACTTCCTGTATATACTTATTTCGAAAACCTCTTAGGTTACCACTATTACTACTTATGTCTAAGAAATGACACCGTTCATGCCACATATCGCACCGCACCGCACCACATCCACCTGGTTCTCCTTCCCTAGCTATGTCTGTTTGACTATACTACACTTCCACCTACAACCCTACTCAATCCAACTCACTGCACACACAACATGTCTCTAAACCACCACACTATATATATCCCCCTTCCCAAACAAAGTCATCATCCCCTTCCTCCACCGCGCAGAAAGAGACACAAACATCCAAGTAGCAAATAACCGATCAGCCTGCCTGCCTGCCTGCCTGCCCCAACTCTCAGCCTACTACTTAGGCTATAAACCCACTACCTACTACTATTGAATTCGAGCCACTACTTATTGATATCTAGATGGCCAGAAAGAACACCAACAAAAAAAGGTTGGACGATTTGTATTCCCAATTCAGCGGAACTTGGAACTCATCACACACACACACACACATCGTTTTGCATGAGAATGTATGTATGTAAATCCACGTGATGGATTGATGGATTTGAACAGCGGGGCAATTACAAAAGTCCGGATGGGACGTGCGGCTAGTAGTAAGCGATGCGATGCGATTTCGAATGAATAATTGTGACACTTACTCAGATGTTGTGTGGTTGGGGGTAAGACTGGTAGAAGAATATTCTTCGTAGTAGTACTACCACTAATTGTGTATGAGAATGGAGGCTCGGACATTATAAGTACTAGATACTAGTAGCTAATGGTGGGGGAATCATTCATGTAATACTAGGTGAATCGAGTTGAACAATTGTAATTACTGCTTATGTGGTTGATGGTAATGCTATGGGGAAGGGGATGAAGTTGGAAGAAAGAAAAGAAAATGGGGTGTGGTGTGAATGGTTGGGGGAATGTGTATCTATGAGTAATGGAACAAGGGGAGAAGAAACACCAGTACCGGGGAATCCTAGAGTGATCGTTTATGTATGTGCTGTATGTAATCTACTACTCTATTGGTTCCAGTGCAGGCAGGACAAATCACTCTTATGTTTGATTCCTCGTCCGATATCTGCTCTGTTCACAAAATCATTACTAGAATCACACCGAGATCAGACTTGAAATGAGCTTGCATTCCGATAACACGCCGTGGTGTCCTAGGCTACATGGCCATCGGATCATCCACTCCCAGCCATAGTTTCGCCGTCCCATCCTTAAGAATAGCATACAGAAAGAATCACAGCAGGGGTAAAAGCAGATACGGGGGAAATAGAAACAGGATACCCACCCCAGGCTAGGCAATTAAAATAAAGATTGGAGAACCACATCGTTCTCCCTCACAACAAAAACCGGACATCGTAAGACTGTACCTTGCAAATAACTGACATGGAAAATAAAAGTGGAAACAGGGAGAGATCAGGCAAGGTCTGTTCAATGAAAGGGGAGAAGCTGTTAGGATAGTGTTAAGAGGGGGAAAAAGGAAGAGGAAAGCAAGCGACAAGATCGATGCTGTCTCATGCCTCCCAAGGTAAACAAGTCGTAGCACATGTGAATATAAGGAACGAGATAATGCAGTGATTCTCACACTACTTCTCTGCACGAGCAGTAATGCACGTTAGTCGAGATCAAACCTGGCCTTGGTCAATGTCAAGGGGCTCCAGCTCCTTCGAGTCTTCGTAGTCTTCGAAATCGAGACCTGCGTCGCGGCAGCGCTGCAACCACTTCAGCGCAATGTCACCGCGACGGTTGACTTCGATCTTCAGTTTGGAGTTCTGCGAGCTGATTTCGTTGATTGCATGGCTCGTGGTCATATTGTTCTGATCCCAACGTTCACTCATGGCTTTCTTTTCTTCGTGTAGTTGGCATATATATTCGATTGCGCGTTGCAGAATGGCACCCTTGTTCTTGTCACAGTTGGGGACAAGGCGAGCGATCTGATTGATGCCCTCATTGATCGCCTCACGGCGTCGCCGCTCCACTAAGTCTTCATTAGTGGATGCACTATGAAAGTGGAGAGGGGAGAAATATTGCTGTACCTTCTTTGTGATTGTTTTTGCGAATTTGGTGCCATTCGGGAGAACCTACAGAAGGCTTCTGGTTCATGCTCTGCGCTTCGCGAGCAGCGTAGACGGCGGCAGCAGTAGAATTGTGACCATGTGCGGAGCCGATAGCCTGACCCATATCGTCTCCAAACGTCAAGCCATGGGCGAGGTTGTTGTCAAAGGTCGCATCAGGGGGAGGCGGGTATTTGTTCTGAGGGGTGTGGGCGGCGAGTGCCGCCTTAGCAGTGAGGGCGTTATCATCTGAGATACCGTTTTGAGGACCAACATGCTGCAGAATTTGCTGGTCGATGTTGAGTTCTGTCGTAGCACTTGGAAGATGCGTGTCATAGGATCCAAGAGAGCTATGGGCGAAGTTCGGCTGAGTATCTGGGGCGGGAATGCTGCCGTTGCTCCCATTGGAAGATCGATTCAGACGCTGGGCATCTGGACCGGTGCTATCGGTACTGTCGCGCTTTCGCTTGGCCGTAACACTACCATCGGTAGCACCCAACGACGGATCAGACATCGTTAGGTATGTATTATATGACTGCCCTGTGCGTAACAGTTAGTATCGCGGTGCGTCATTTAGGGAGCCAGCCACCACCTTCGAAGCGCACTTACCTGCTAACGATAGGGATTCAGTGAAGTTACCGGAGTTTCGCTCCAGCTCTAGGGGCCTAATCGGAGAGATTAGGCGATTCCCGTTAACTCTAGAAGTTCTGTTAGTAACCAAGTTGCTTTTGCACGATCAGTACGGTTCAAGATGGTGTAAGAAATGATCCGGCGGGTAGACAAAGCAACACTATTGCAAAGGGGGGGAAATGGTAGCATTCATTGAATTGCGGTGGAGCCATTGGATAGTCCCAGTGAAGGGCTACAGTTGCTGGGGTGCACAGGTGAGCCAGATCTGAACGGGTTGTGAGCTAGTAACGCGTTTGCTGACGCGCCCACCTCCGCATCCAAGCACCAACAAGCACCGAACACAAGATGAACGGCGCGACCACCAGCAGAGATACAACTACAAACGAGAGATGGCACTGAAGTGAAGACAGTAACAGGAGCACATGAGGAGATGAAGAGCAAGCCCCTGAGATGGGAGCGAAATCGGCGACGCGTCGCGAAGACGTCTTTGCGACCGATGGAAGCGGGAAAAAACAGCATCATCATCCTCGGCCATCGCCCGACCGGGCCATGTCGGAGAAGGAGAGGACAAGGGGGGTTGCCAAAGCAGAAGCCATAATGCTATGGCGATGCTGATGGCCGTGGCAGAACCGCGGAGCAGACAAGAGGCGACAGAGAGTAGAGGGGCACAGCGCGAGCGAAGAAGGGGAGAGGGAGAGCTGGATTGATTACCTTGGGATGGTCTATCTATCACCTGACAGCAAGTCACCTGCCACGGGCAACAACAAGAGGGAAGACACCGGTTCGATCGCAGAAGCTGGAGAACGAAATTTGTTCACGAAAGAAATGGTCGGGATCGAAGCATCCACATCAAAGACAGCGGACGGATCGGCTTTGAAAACAAGCAAAAAGTTGTGGCGGATTTTACAATGGAAAAAAGGGATACATGGAGGAGTAGAGAGAGAGTCGAGTAGAGAGGGACTGCTCACGTGGCGAGGGACGAAGGACGAGAATCAAAGAGAGGAGAACCGCCCGCTACGGTGACCCAAATGGACCCGAGGTGTAAAGTAAAGGATAATGTGAGTAGTATGTAACGCCAGGCCGATCACCTGACCCCACCCTCCCTAAAAAGTCAAAAGCCACGGAGTATTGATAGCAACTAACTAACTAACTAACCAGTTGGTTAATGTTATACTCCCGTGGTACTTTCTGCAATGTAGATAGTAAGTAACTCAACATCTACCTCCAAAACCAGGGCTACTGTAGTACCTTATCCAAAACAGACAATAAAATAGAAGGGGGGTTATTCTGAGAATCAACTTACAGTAAAGTAGAAACCTACTAAAACTTACTAGTAGTAAGTAAGCAACAGTCTCTCTTGTTCAAGTGAGGCCAGCCCGGAATCATACCACCACCAATACCAACCATTTTCTGTAAACATCATTTTCATTGAGTTTTATTTTTACCCTGGCACATTATCATCTTCCTATTTTCCCTTCCCCCACCCCTTCACCTCCGTTCCAACCGGTTTTCCTCTTCCCATTCCCTCCTTCTCCATCACAAAATTGTCAGGTGCTGCCATCCCGTGCCCCCTCCTCACCCAACTCCTCGATCACCAATTCTGATTGGTCGGCAGGCCTCCTCTGTCCCGGTGGTCGGAGGAGGGGTTCACCCGGAATCACGTGGAATCCGGCAGCCCTCTTGGCTCGAAAGGGAAAAAGGGGACTGATTGGTGTCCTTTCTGACTTCTCTAGTGTGTCCTGCGATCGGTCTATTCAAGAACATACAGTAGCACTGATCGAATGGGGGAATGTCCTGTTTAATTCCTGCAGAAGTCCATTATTGGAGTGGAAACGTCGCTGCGCCGTGGAGGGTGCCTGCTCATCCCGGTCGGCCCGTCCCTTCCAAGTAGCAACCAGTTACTGGACGGTAGTTACAACTAGACTAGTGACTATGTATGGAGTCCTACTAATGAGTTATTTCGTGTCGAGTCAGCACCAAAGTCTCAAAGAGTCAACTACGGTGGTGGCTTGTCTCTGATCCCCCTCCCCTTAGCCGCCGATCTCTCTTGCAGTCTGAACTTTCTATGTATGTCGTCATGATCTGACTGTTCAGTCGTCCACCTGCCTTTGTGCCCCCTGTTTTCTGCGAACGGGTCATAGATACTATCAGTGACTTTCAATCGTCAGTCTACAAAGTACTGGTGGTAGGGAGGCCCGCAATCCACCCTCCATTTGGCATGATCAAGCCCCGATGGGCCTTCATGCCCTCCCCCATTGCGCAGCAACTCTGTTTTCTTTCGAACCAACCCGGGTCAATTCTCAATCTTTCCAAGGCTGTCCGATAACTCACAACCGTCACATGTGTGCGCAATGCAACCTATCAGATCCATCGTCGCGATCTCTACTAGCCTTCTCCTCACTAAGATGGTCGCGCATCCTCCGAAATATGCTACCTTTCCTTGCCTAGGGATGCGCGTCAAGGGTTGCATGCAGAAACGGGGGGGGTACCCGACAGGAAGAGAAAAAAAGCCTCCTTCCAAGGTTCAGCAGTTGACTCTGAGGAAGTAGGAGTCCATCTGACGGGCGATTCGCTGATCAGTTGGTCATGAGATAAGATGCTGGAGTGGATACTCTATCATTAGGTACTTTAGCTTGCTGTAGCGATCATTGTCCGGAGCCCTCTGATCATCCGGGGTTCTTGCCGCAATCGACCTTGATGAATAGTATACATTTACTGTGTAGTAGGCGGGTATTCTCCGGAGAGCAGAAATGAGTCTAGATTCGCCTTGGTCGCTCCAATGCGAATAAACAGCCAAGTGACAATGACGAGTTGCCATCTCCTGTCACATGAATGATGGTCGAGTCTGACTGGGGCCAGAAAGTGCCTCACATGATAGATCATGGCTCACTGTGGCAACTCGGGACTTTGGAACCTGCCCGTCTGTCGGTCGGTCGGTTGACGATATGCACTTCGCTCTCCGATAAGAAGCCCACTAGGTCAAAGGACAGAGTGGGGAGCCCAAAGCGCATGGAACAGAACAAGTGAGCGAGAGACTGGTGCCCTGATAAGCTTCCTACACAGCAGGGGAAAGGGCGAATACACGACTTCCTATCGTGCCAGACAATAGATCCTTGGACATGCATTGCGACTCTTATTCGGTTTTTGTCCACGTCCAAAGCAACCCCAGTATACGATCTATGTGATTTACGAACGCCGACTCAAGTGACGCCATCTGAAATAGAATTGATAGGCAGGGCACCACTCCAGGCTGCAACCCACCAATTCCGAGGTGGCTTTAGCCTCATGTGCAGTTGGAATGTCATTTTGAAGCTTTGACCAATCCAAACACCATGCTGGGGTCTGCCGTAGTGTCGGCAAAACAAATACCTTCCGTCGTCGCACCCATCATATCCCAACACAGGATTTTCGTATCAAATGACGGTGCTTCTGTCTCAGCGGCATCCGTATCGTCACCAGGGTCTCCTTCTTTAGAAGAAGTTTCCTTACCTGATGTACGGGATGGTGGTTTCTGTGTGATTGCTACGATAGCACTCGTGCCCGCATACCGAGCTGGGTTCGTCCCTTCGGCACCCGGCTCTTCTCCGGCTCTATTGGCAAACACAATGATGATCTTCTTTCCGCGATTAGCATCATCGCCATCGAAGTTGGCCTCATGGCCCATCTCCTTCCTGATAAGCGGCATAAATCGCTGGATCCAATAGTTGAACGTGTCCAAGTCCGGCTCATCAGCAAGCGAGTCGAGCTCGTCCCGCTCCAACAAGGTCAACCAAGCCATCGAGAGTATGACCAGCTCAGACTTCGTATCCAGGACCCGATTGGCAAACTCCCAGGCAGTAAAGGGAGCCTCGAATCGATATGGGTTAATGTCCATACAGATGCCGAAAGAGGTAGCTATCTGGGACTCCACTGAGCTTTGATTTGAGTTTCGGAAGGAGAGCTGGTGGAAGCCTTGCTGTGGGTTGCCCTCTGCCGCCCACGTCTCATCCGTGTAGTATAGAAACGATTTACGGTAGTTTAGGACGATGTCACCACTTTCGTCCACCACCAGCAGGGAGTTGTAGCAAGTCTCCGTGGAGTTAGTTGAATCAGCCTGTTGGGCACCATTTTCTGTGTAAATCTCCGGATAGCCCACACAGACTTTGCATTGTAAGCGTTTGGCCGTTTCTCGAGCCCACTGCGCTGAGGGACCTTGTCCAACGGGCTCCAGGAAGGGTCTTATAGCCTCCAACGAGGGGAAGTTGTATCCTGGCCGAATTAATGACCGTGCTGCGTAGAAAATCCCGGGGGCGAAGGGAATCTCAATGGATATCGGTAGAGGTAAGAGCTCCAGGCTAAGACGCACTGAACAAGCCACCGAGTACAAACATCCCGAAGCTCATGCGTCGTGTGACGTTCGTGGGGAGGACAGAGTAACACTTACCCGTCAAAGCCAACTCGGGCAAAATCAAAACATCCGGCTTCAGGAGATCAAGTCCAACCCCAATTCCAACGCCCCGCACTACCTTCCCGTCCTTGAGCAGCTCATTGGCTCTCTTGATGTTGCCATCGACATCGCCCAAACGAGGGGCAAACTGCAGCGTTGCTACTTTCATTCCTTGACACCGTTGATGGTACAAACGCAGATATGAAGGACGATAAATATGAGCTGGGCCACAGCTGCCTGTAACGCGCAAAGTTATACTGGTATTGCAGATGGCGAGCGGAGGCCGCGTCAAATGCAGGAGACGGAAGCTGCGTTGGAAGGGTCCGACATGGATGGGTGCGAACACTTTGACTGCGAGGTACAAACGAATGATGCACAGAACTTCCCACCCGTCTTGGCTTGGGAAGTAAACGGGCTGAACGAAGAAAAATGCTTCTACTTGGTCCCCTTGTTGTGGCTGAAGGGAGCAGTAGCGAAGTATAGACAATTGATTGAGAGTTGTTGATGAAGTGAGTGAAGCGAGAGACTTGACTGGACTGGAGAGGGGAGCTGATTGGTGGAGAAGCAATGAGTTCACGTGATAGTCCCGTGGCCAGAACCCCAAAAAGACTGCCGGGCGACGTCATGGCACGGGGGAAGGAAGGCGATCAAGCTTCATTTTAATTCCATCCCAGGCCAGTATTTAATCTAATTCAGACTCGGACTGCCTTTGTCCTTGGCCATGAGGGTGCCATTCATCGCTCGCCCTGTCCTTGGCCGTCTAAGAGAAAAAGAACATTGGACCGTGCTGTGAGGGGACCTGCCAATCAGTCCATCTGATCCAAGGGTCGGCGGTACCTGATTTGCTGCACAACCATATTTTGGGTGGACGGATGAATGAATAGTACTAGTATGGATGGATGCAATACTACTCGGTAGTACTCCGTACTAGGGAAATATTTTTAACTTTGGAAAATCGAGGTAGTTCTGGTCCAGTTCCCGCGTTGGGTTGGAGCCTTACTTGGGCTATTGACTCGTTTATTGTTTCGAGTCGGGATCCGGTGGATAAAGGATGGGCCTCTGGGCGAACTCATTCCGCTACAATAATAAGAGCCATGGCCATCCTCTTTTTTCGGCCTAGCAGTTGAATCTTTGAAACCGTCAACTATACTCACTCGTTTCAATCCCACTGCATTCATTCTTTTGAGGGTGGAGTCATTTCATCATCGAGATCATCCTCCTCCCTAGTAGTGAGAGAGAGTTGTGTATATAGGGAGTACTAGATACTAACTACTACCGACTATCTAGTGACTGGGTACTTTCCTTTACTCCATTCCCATTCAATCATTCATTATAACCCTCTTGGTTCCACCAGAATCTCAGAGAGGGCCATTCGAGGTCCTTTTCCTTTTTAACTTAACATCATCTTGACCAGCATCAACTCCCATCTCCCATCGTTGAATGTCGTGCTCAGATCATCTTCTGTCCCTTGCCGCGCCCCTTTTCGATCCTCACCCGCCAATCAAAGCCGCCCACTGCGATCGATTCTTATCCTTGGGCCATCGACATCATTTCCTAATCCTCCCACCACAACGTCTCTCCTCTCCTCATCCACCACGGCCTCTCCGCCATCTAAGCGCGCCTCGCGGCCCCCTCGGTCGTTTTCCTCATCGAAAACGTCCCCTCTCGCCTCACAAACGGACCCTTCAACATCATCGCCCCCGGTTAAAGAAGCATCCCCTTATCCCCCGCGAGGCCTCCGCGTTCGGTGCCATTCCTTCGAGGCACATCCCCCCACATCCTCCGATCAGGTCACCGCAGCGAGCTCCTCCCAAGCAAGATTCTCTTATCGGCGAAAGAGTTCCTGGATACCTCCCACGATCTTGCGCCCGCCGTCAGTGCGACTCGCAAACCCTGTCAATTACGTTCCCCGCAACACTCCGGTCACGGTACCCCATCTGTCGCAGCTCTCCGACGAGAACCTTCCACTCGACGCACACCGAGACGCCTACCCTTTGCTGACTATTCCCGAACGGCGTCGCAGTCGACCGATCCCATCTCCGAACAGTCTGGTGGTGGAGCGCAGCCAAGGGGAAACGGAGAGTGGACGCTCCAGCATCGCAGTGCCTCGCGGCCAGAGGCGCAGTGGCGCATTTGACGACCAGCTGGTGTTACAAGAAATGTCCGAGTCGGGAGTGTCAAATGGTGCTCCGGAGGTAAAGAACCCTCGCGCTCCGGAACGGGCGCATCTGGGCCTCGATTTGGCGGTAGACGGACCTGGGCCGCTTCACGACGACCGGCCCCGCCACATCCAGTCGCAATCCTCGCTGCGATCGCAGTCACACATCGCATCTGTACCATCCATTACCGGCGCTCAAAATGGCGGCGAAGCTGATGTGGCGGAGGAGTTAGCCTGGGGCCCTGCGCATCCGTGTTATCCTCACATCAACCCACATGTTCCGATCGGGTCCGAGGAGTACATGACCACCCGCATCATACGAATCCGGCGTGATTGGATGATCAAGGGAGACCTAGCTCCTACATTCTCCAACCTGTACCCTGAGATTCTGGACCCGCTATTACCTGAACAAGAGTTTCGAAAGGTCATCGCCACAGTAAATGATGAGCTCGTTAAGGCGTTCGATCCGTTCAGCCTTCGCAATTTCATCGACAGTGCGCTGAGCCTTCTGACGGGATGGATTTGGGAAGACATAGGCGCTCCAGGAATCAAGAGCCATCTCAAACGGGTGGAAGCTTGGCTGGAGAGGTGGAACAGAGAGGTCGGGGCCAAGGACGGAGTACATATCTGGAGTCTCCGCAGGACGGCGTACATGTCGTTGGACATCCAGATTCCGGATCCCAAGGTTGGCATCATCCGCAGTGAGGGAGTTCCATCACTTCCAGGGACTCGGCCGAGCAGCGGTGTCTGATGGAATTCCCGCAGGGTTTCCGTCAAATCGCCATCTGCGGTCTTGACTCCCGTTTTACATTCTCTACGACTTCCTTTAATTCTCTACGCCTTTTAATATGTCTCGTCGGGATGGGAGACTGCTTTCGAACTCCGATCTCCGAGATCTTATTCTCTCTATTTCTTTTTCTTGTGATTTCTTTTGATACTGGACTCGCCGTCATGATATCCATGCCCTAACCTTGATACCCGCCATGTGGGCGTCAGTCCATGTTATCGCAATGTGAACCAGCGCTACGAGGTTTTGCTGATTTCGAAAGTACGGAGTGGCATGTTGCATTCTGTCGCTCCATGCCGACTCGTGGACAGCACATCCGGCCAGCACATGAGATGAGCATAGCACAACCTCTCAACCATCAGTGTGTTACTGTCTGTATGTATTTAGGTGCCTATATGAGCTGTGTATATATACATCTAGTATGCTCGACCGTCAAAGACCTGGAATGCAGCTTAGAATAGAGCTGTAATCGGGAATAATGCGAGCATACATAATACCTATTTCAAATTGCCACGGTTGATCTCGAGATCAACGCCCTCCTTAGTCAAGTTTGATTCTGCACATACATGAACGTAGTATTTCATAGGCGCCTCCGCACACGGTGTACTAAGCGTCCTCTTTTGGTGTTTTGACATTGCTCCTCCGACTCTACATCAGTTGCCTATAGCCCTTTAGACGCATCAAACCATATAATACTAGTCGGTAGCCTATACGATCAAATAACACCATCTCCTCAATATACTACTTGAGCCATGGCACCATCGGGGATTTGTTAACCTTCCAAAAGAAATTATATGCCCTACTTCGACGCAGCCGTTAGAAGAAGCCGAAAGAACTATCCTTACTGTGTTTTGTTAAGTTATATACCTCTTACTGCTTCACCTCTTTTGCACCCGAAAACAAAATACTAACCAGAAGCTGAATGACGGTTTCCTCTCAACACGCGAATACAACAGTTCCATGGAGAAATAGATCAAAGCTGTCGATGCTCATCCTTGACAGCTCGAGCAAACATTCCGTATGTAAGTGTGGTCTCGCCATGACTATTATTCACGCATTAGAACATAGATTTATTGATCGCCAAGTGATCCACCAAATAGACAGAATAAGTGGATAGAGTAAACAATATACTGGCCGGCCACTTGAAGTGTGCATCGAACAGAGCTGTAGTAAATTCGAGTAGTAGTAGGAGTAGTAGTGTCGGCGGGCAAACCGCATCCATCGCCTCCGCCGGTCGAGACCGACTTCACCTTCTCTCTCCGCGGCCCCCTCATTCCTCTCCGTTCCCCCCTTTCCTTTCTTCTTCTACTTACTTCTCCTTCCACCCCCCTCCCGCCCCTCATCCTCCGCAGCGCCCCTTCACCATGCTCTCCGGTATCCTCATTTTCAACCAAAAGGGCGAGAACCTGATTTTCCGCGCTTTCCGCAGCGACTGCCGCCCGCGCCTCGCCGACATCTTCCGCATCCAAGTCATCTCCAACCCTCAAGTCCGCTCGCCCATCCTAACCCTAGGCTCCACGACCTTCAGTCATGTTAAACACGAAAACATCTACCTGGTCGCCGTGACCAAGAGCAATGCCAATGCCGCGCTGGTCTTTGAGTTTCTATACCGATTGGTTATGCTGGGAAAGAGCTATTTTGGGAAGCTCGATGAGGAGGCCGTGAAGAACAACTTTGTCCTGATCTACGAATTGCTCGACGGTGCGCTTCACCTGCGTTTCCGAGAATACTACCAAATCGAAAGATAACTAAACCACAGTTTTCTCTTTCATAGAAATCCTCGATTTCGGATACCCTCAAAACACCGAGACCGACACCCTGAAAATGTACATCACCACCGAAGGCGTAAAATCCGCCATTGCCAACTCTGCGACCGACTCCAGCCGTATCACCATGCAAGCCACTGGCGCTCTCTCCTGGCGCCGTTCCGACGTCAAATATCGCAAGAACGAGGCCTTTGTCGACGTGATCGAAGACGTCAACCTCCTCATGTCCGCCACAGGCACTGTCCTTCGCGCCGATGTCAACGGCCAAATCGTTATGCGAGCTTACCTCTCCGGCACCCCCGAGTGTAAATTCGGCCTTAATGACCGCTTGCTCCTCGATACTGATGCTGCTGGCTCCTCCACCCCGGGCAATCGCGACGGTACTATGAAGGCTACTCGCGCGGCCGCAGGCTCCGTCACACTCGAAGACTGCCAGTTCCACCAGTGCGTCAAGCTGGGCCGCTTCGACGCCGATCGTATTATTTCCTTTGTGCCTCCCGATGGCGAGTTTGAGCTCATGCGCTACCGCGCTACCGAAAACGTCAACCTGCCCTTCAAGGTTCATCCGATCGTGCGTGAAGTCGGCACTACCAAGGTGGAATACAGCGTTGCTATTAAAGCAAACTACAGCTCGAAACTCTTCGCGACGAACGTTGTGATTCGCATTCCAACACCGCTAAACACGGCCAAGACGACCGAACGGACCAGCCAGGGTCGGGCCAAGTACGAGCCGGAGCATAATAACATTGTGTGGAAGATCGCGCGGTTTTCCGGTGGAAGCGAATACGTCCTGACAGCAGAAGCGACGTTGACGAGCATGACGCACCACAAGGCTTGGAGTCGGCCACCGCTCAGTCTGTCATTCAGTCTTCTCATGTTCACTAGCAGTGGACTATTGGTGCGGTACCTGAAGGTATTTGAGAAGAGCAATTACAGCAGTGTCAAGTGGGTGCGGTACATGACTCGCGCAGGCAGTTATGAAATTCGGTACGTTTGATGTGAACCTCTTGCGCAGATAAATGTGGGGTGGTGATGATTACTGTGCTAACTCCAAGCGAAACAGATTTTAGTTTGATATAATAGTGCAGACAGGGTGGCCGATGGTCCTATTCCCCCCTATCTATATCTCAATAGCTTCCATTCCAATTTCCCGACCTTTGAGCTTGGTGTCTGGCGTTGACTGATCGATTGCATGTTTTCATGTTGGGTGTGTACTGTTGTACTCATACTTACTAGGTTCTGTTCTCTTGTTTGCACATAGGGGCTGATTGATGCATGGCATAATGGCATACTGGGTTTGGTCATGGACATACTTAGATGGTATTGGTAGTTCGTTTATTTATTTGCAACTTAGCCGGAGTACTGACTGCTTGCTTACATCTGCTCAAATTCATGCTTCGTCTTGATACTTATAGTAGTAATGATCTTATCGTTTGCCCCTCCCCCGTCAATACCTACATAGTTGACTAAATCATAGCAACGACTGGACCGGCTTAGTAGCACTGCTTACTTATTACCCAGTTATGGTTGATCCTATGTAATAATAAATGATGGAAAGACTCGACCATCGATAATCAAAGCTTCTCCACTTACTAAAGCGCGGTAGCAGTCTCCCATTTCCATGATATGCTTACTAGTTGTACTACCTACTTACCTACTCACCTATCTACCAACCATAGAAGGCGAGTCTAAAGGTTTCACACATGCTTCCGAAAAGCATACATGATGTATGTATGTACGTGCGGAGCAGGAACCATCTGTAATTCTCGATTATGTGATAGAATAATCAGGTCTATATCGCTTTTGTCATTGTTTATAGGAAGAATACAGGGATAGATTGGTGGATCGATAGGATGATAGATAAATAGATAGATAAATAGTACAGTAGAATAAAGTACATACACAACCAGTGTGTGTCGGTCATAGATAGTCAGTCATATGATACATGAAAAAGAAGAAGAAAAAGAAGAAGAAAAAGAAACCCGAAGTAAGGTCGTCCATATCACATCTATCCGTTCATCCATCAAGTCTGATGTATGTGGATAGATGGATGGATGGGACAAACATAATGTAAGTAACCCCGGAAATGTAGAAACAAAAACACACAGCACCGTGAAAATAAGGTAAGGTAATGGGTTGTAGTAACACAATCTGAAATCCCCGAAAGTAACACCTGACGAAAAGAAGAGAAGCAAATCCATCCATATCCCGTATCGTACATGAGCCCGTGAGTTGTGAAAGTAGTAAAACAAGAGAGCCAAATAGTCAAAGTCATAATACAGGAGGTAGCGTAGCGATGCTATCAGGGTATTGGCGGTGAAAAAGGCGCAAATTCAGAAGCGAGTTGAGTCGGTATCGTAAGCAAGGATAAACGAACGAAAGTTTGATCGGTAGACACAAGGAGTAATAAACGAAAAGAGGCCATTTTAGATACCCAGCGGGTCTGGTTTAGCTCCTCGTCGCAAGCCTATCTCCCCTTGGCCTAGGAGAGTATGCCATCTACGTCTGATGGACTCGTGGTTTCTGCCCAGTTCTCTGGCGCAGTCGTCCAAGACTTGTTCGGAGAATTGATATCTTTCGAGGACCAAGTTCACTAGCCGTCGATCGTCCTCTGCGACCCAGGAAGGCGATGCATCGATCGGCGTTGATTCATGTGACGCGGACTCTGTGCTCTCGTCGTTTGTCTCAATGGACGGCAGCGGCGCGTCGGGATTGTATAGTGAGGTTTGCAAAGGGTTTATTTCACTTGCGCTCAGGTCTTCTTGCGGTTGATGCGCCGGCGACAGAGGCGACTGTGTGATCGGGGGTGAATAAAGCGAGTAAAAGTCTTCCTGAGTAAGACCTAGTGGTAGATCATTGGGGATTTGTCTGCGACGCTTGGGCGTAGAGAAACGATCGCGCGATTTGGCATTCTTGGAGGGTTTGCGATCCTCAATTTCCGAGTCGAGGTCTACTTCATAGGCAGATCGGTTGCGCTTGTTCGCACGACGCGTAAGTTTGGAGGGAGAGCAGGGTGATGGGGAGGAGCGCGTGAGGTTGTTCAAGTCTTTCTGGGCCACTCGCTTCTGCGACCGGGAGGGAGGAGGGGATCGTAGCTGGAGGGGACTTAGGAGACGCGGAGGAGTCTTGCGACGGGGGATCGAAGCAGGAGAGATATTAAGAAGAGATTGGAGGGCGCGACTGGTTCCCAGTAGGCCATTGCCTGAAGGGAAGAGGTCATCTTCGGTGGGGGGTGGAGTGTTGAATAGTAGGTTGGGCGCGAGATGCGACTGAGTCGACTGTTGTGGCATGTCGCTAGGAAGCGCAGATGGGAGTAACATCTTGCGCGACGGAGATGAGTATTCCCCAGGGATAAGTGACATATGAAACGACAAAGGAGTGAAGATGAGTTGGATAGTTGGCGAAGTGGTGGTGTTGGTGGTGGGGTGAGGCAGTCGATGCCGGGAGTGTTTGTGCGCGGATCAAGAGGAACCCGCGAAGAATGCAGGTTTGCGCCGGAAGAGGTTTGGAGGAGTAGAACAAGAGATCGGGGGAAAGAAAGAGATTGAATGAAATGCTAACAGCAAGCGCTTTGATTTGGAGTAAGTCCGGGGAAATGCGACGAGGGAATGACAGCGAAGAGGATTGGGGGGTGTGGGAGGCGAAGGGAGGATATCAAGCGGCGCAAATCAGAGGAAGATGATGATGGGATGATGTCGGAGAAAGGAAATGGGTGGGAAAATGGGCGAAAAAGGAGAGATCCGATGCCAGCGGGCTTTTCTGGCGTTTTTGTTCGGTTCCGCAAACGGGGGGGACCCAGCTTCTGGCCCAATGACCGGCAACAATGGCTCTTGGAAAGTCTAAATCCGGGCTGCAGAATTCCCAAACACACACTAAACAAAGCCACTCTGTGTCGATGGACGGTGAAGGAGGAGGGTAGAAGTAAGAAGAGGTTTGAATGCGGTGGCAGGTATAGGAATGATTGACCGGCCTTCAGCTGGAATTGAATGTGATATCACAAACTGAATGGATGACATCGAACGTGTACAAAGAATGACCAGTAACACTTGTTGTCGGTAGCCCTCATGCCTGCTGCCTTTCGTTGCCTCCTAGACTCAGGCTGTTCTTTTCTCTTGTCTCTTGTCTCTTTGACTCTTTGTCTCTCATGTCTCTGCTTTCTTCCTCCTCTCATTCCTGCCCTGAGAACAGGGGAAAGGCCTATTTTTGAAGGTCGAACACTGCCTTCATCCCTCTATATCTCCTCTCTCTTAATGCCCCTCCGGAGGGTGGAGTGAGACAAGGAGTGCAGGAGCCACTTCGGAGGGGATGCGCGCTGCAAGGCGTCCCCTCGCAGGGTCACCCATTGCGGCATTTCCCCATCGCCGTGTCCACTTGATGTCAAATGCTTCGACACCAGCTGGAGAGGAGAGGAGCTATCATCCGTCTGGACTGGGATGGGCCGGACCGGTGTGGGACAGGAGGCTGTTGCATTGCAGCTTGCATTGCGTGTTACGGAGTATACGCCTGGATGAAGTTGATCTATACCTATTTACGAAGCCATGATGCGCCATGCAGCTTGGTATAATTGGGGTAGATAGATAGCTGATGCTGGGCTGATACTGATTGATCATGAATCCTATCCCTCTTACAGCGGATACGTCCATATAGTTTTTGGTTGGGATGGCAACCCTCGATAACCTGGATACTTGGGGGTAAATGATTCAGTCCCTCAGCTACTCCCTATCACCGCAAGATGTCTACATATGAAGCGCTTTTTCCCTCCGTAGAATTGATTAAATCCCTAAGAAGTTTTGGTTTCCATCGAATAAAAAATAATTACATGGACATCTTTTTGGGGCACCTTCCCAGACAGGTAAAATTGAAACGCCATCGCGTCGCGCGTCGCGTCGCGTTAGTAGCGCGTCTGGCGGAAGCGCGTTCACCAATCAACAGTGGCGAGCAACGCAGGTGACCAATCGGCTGGACTCATCGAATGTCTCGATGACTTCAGTTCCAAGTGACCGACTCGGTCATCAGCATCACCGTCATCGCACTCATGGGATTCATCCAATTTCCTCTAGCCGGGGCTTCCGATGAACCGCAACGATTGATGATCCTGGCCGTTGTTGTCTTGAACACAAGACAAGCATCCCTCAGGTAACCAGTTGTGTTTCGCTGGCAAAGCAAGAGATCGTCAATCGTCCACTGTTTCCTCCTATCGCTCCGGCTTATCGGGCCCCCCCTCCTCCTGCCCTCCTTGCTTCTTTCCCGGACCCTCACGGATCTTCCCTTTCTCAAGTCCACATTCTTGCTCAGGGCAAGGTTTTGATCTCCTTCACACAGGATCGTGACTCCAGGTGGCTATGCACTGTTATTTTGGCTCGTGTCTCAAAGATCGTGCCTACGACTATTAGTAGCTCCCCAGCCGCCTCGGGATATTATGCGTCAGATAACTGCACGTTGATGTTGCCCATCGTTTCTTTCTGCCTACCCTCCTTTGTTTGTCCTTGCTTCATCGGTGCAACCTGGAGTTGCACTCGGAGAAATTGCCCACGGTCTGCTGCATCGCATTATCTCGCAGCTGAAGATATCTCCGGACGGGTATATTCTACGACTGCCCCAATGAATTTGCCACAAACACCCCTATTCAGACTGACATAGCATGGACGACTAACAACAGATACGTTCTTCAACTTGGCATCACCTACACTGAGCCCAGAACCAGACAAATATATCAAAAAGCCCCAGCCTATCTCTACAAAGCTAGAGCCTGAGACCAAACCGAAGAACCCAGACAAGGGTTGACGATCTCAGTACCACGATTAGCAACCCTCTCAGAAGATCCCCTAGAATAGCACCACAAGCGCAAACCATCAGCACGAGAGAAACTCAGCTCAAACCTATTGCCCTGTTTCTCCAACTCTACTCACCTTTTCGTTCATCCCTACTCTCCCCCAGCCTCTGCGCAGCATCCACTATCCACGCAAGGGACACCACACCCTATCGGACAATTTTCCCACCGGTTCCCGGGGGAATCTAATCTACTAACTACCTATGCGAATCACAGCACATGCAGGTGCAGGGCGATTGACACCTGCACGGGTTTCTTGATCCACCTAGGAGGTTTTTCATCAGCTACCCCTTGATGCACTGTTATTGGTTACGTCCCTCCGCAGCACCAGTAGTCCGAACACACGACGTCAACGTGCGTCACATAGGAAGTATATCAAGCGTCTACTATAGAACTCTACGGTGAAAGGAGTCTTTAGTATTACTAGTTCTAGTAATAACCGACTACACTACTTGGTACAGCCTTAAGACATAGATCGTCGGCCCCACACCCATAGATACAGTTTGGGGTACCTTGATCCAACCTATAGACTATACCATTAGTAGTAATCAGAGTATCGACCTAGTCTCACCCATCTCACCCTATATAACACCCCTACGCAGTAGTAATCCTTGATTCTATAACAAAGGCAACCTTATATTTACAGTCTGGATCCAGCCAGGGTCTGTAATACTTTCAACTCAGCCTCACTCCAACCTGCTTTCTTATAGCTCCCATCCGAATCAAACACAATACTTCCATATAAAACTTATATTACACGAAGACTTACGTATTCTAAATACCTCCTTCCCTCTCTCCTACCCTCTCCCTTCAAGCCTTCAGACCAGACAAAGGGACATCCCATCCCATCCCATCCCATCCCATCCCACCAACCCACCCCTTGATAAGATCTTCCTGCTATCATCAGCAATGAATAGACTTTTGCAAAAAGAAAACCCCATGTTCTACCGATTTGAATTCAAGGAACCCGTGGTCTAGTAGGATGACGGTAGGATTGAGGTACTATGTAAGTAGTAGCGTATTGGGGCTTATTAATCACTTATAGAAGGAGTTGAGACATGGCTGTGTAGGGTAGATGGTGCCTTTCGGTGGCGCTCGGGGTGCGCCCTTGTTCGTTGTCTGGCCTGGTTGCTCAAGATTGCGATACACACGGCAATGCTGTTTGTTCGATTACTTTTTACTGTTTCTTCTAGGTCTTTGGTACTGAAAAACTCAGTGTTTTGCCATTTCAAAGCTACCATGGGTCTATCTATGCTATAGCTAGCGTGTTGAGATTAGCCTCTCTCTCTGGAATAACCCCCCTCCATGTCCCATGAATTCACCGTTCGCTGTTAAACCCTCAGACTGAGAGTGGAGGTAAGTTGAGATCTGACAAAGTAGGAGAAGCAATCTTGTGACCGGAGAGATTTTCAAGTGATGAGCTGGGGCTCCCTGTCTTGTTTGATGCTTGGCCGTGTGCTCCGAACACTATACTTGAAAGCGG